TAGTTTAGGTAGAAGACATAGGATTTGCGTAAATAACTTTATCCCTAAAAATTTATAGAAGACTCTTATAACACTTTTGCAATGATTTAACTGATTTGATTATTGGAGAAAATTTTCATCACCTGCAAGATTCGAGTTTATTCATGGTACGAATGCCCAAATAAGTTTATTTTACAAACAAACACAGTTATTTTATTCTATTTTTATGGAACAAAATATACTCGGAGTTTTATGTATTTGAATTTTGGAAAATATCTTATCATTTATTTTAGTGCATGGTGCTGCGGTCTAATTGCACTATGGTCTCATGACTAGAATCAAATGGAAGTGTCAGCACCGAAGAAATAGGCCCATGGCCTGTTGCCGATTCTTGTACTTTTCGTGACATGATTCCGCATGGGATCCTGCCTTTTGAACCCGATTTTTCCATTACTGACGATTGATTGAGATAGCTGCTGGACTTATTGGAAGGCCCGTAAGGTGCTAGGCATTTCATGACTGAACACAGAACATAGTGATGTCGGCACTGAAGAGTAGGCCTGACGCGGCCTGTCGACGATTCTTATGCTTTTCGTGACTCGTTCACAAAAGATCTAAAATCGCGTCATTTGACCGGATCTTTTCATGACTGACGATAGTTTGAAATAGCTACTAGACTTACACCGGGGTCGATATGGTGCTAGACATTTCAAGTCTGAACATATATCTTTACTTAGTTTTATCTAGGCTGTTCTTGAACGCGTTCATGCTCGGTCGGAGTCGGAATGCCAACGATGTAATCGGGGAGGCTGTTCCACATGTCGGTGATTCGAAGCGAGAAGAAATATTGTCGCGTGGAAAAGTTACAGCGCAGTTTTTTATTTCATAGCCGTAGCCCCAGGTCTTGGTTTTTGCTTCAAATTCTAGCAATCCTTCTGGGACCTTGTATAAACCATGAGTATACTTGCATTCTTCAATGAGGTCCCTACGCAGACGTCGATAACAGAGGCTTGGAAGCTTCATAATCTTTGATCTTTCTTCGTAGGGCTTGCCCTTCAAGCCTGGAATTATGCCTATTGCACGTCTTGAACATTCTTTATTAAATTTTTGTCCTTTTCATGTCTCAGTGACCACACAACGTTTCCAAACTCCAGATTCGGTCGCACGACAGCAACAAACAACTGCTTCATCACTTCTGCATCTAGGAACTCGTATGAGCGTCTGATTAGTCCAAGAAGTTTGTTGGATGTGTTCTCTTGCGTTTCAACATGCTTAGAAAAATTCAGCTCCTTGTCAAAATAAACTCTGATATCTTTTTCTACACTAAACTTTTCAATCATTACTCTCTCGCAGCAACCATGTCTTCTCATACTGTAATCTTGCTGTTCATTGTTCTTCCCGAGTCGAAGTGCTTTACACTTGTCAGCATTAAACTGCAGCTGCCACGTATCAGCCCAGTTAACTAAACTGTCAAGATCATCTTGAAATTGCGCTTTATTTGACGCATCCGTCACTGTATTATAAACTTTTTTGTGTCGTCGGCATACATGGAGCACACGCTGGACACTTCTTCTGGCAGATCGTTTATTAAAGCAACGAACAAAATAGGCCCCAGGACGCTTCCTTGTGGCACGCCACTGCGCACTGATGCCCAGTCTGACAAGGTTCCGTTAATACTGACCCTGCATAGCTTCGTTTACTCTGTTCTTGAAGGCGTTCATACTCGCAACGTCAATGATGCCTATCAGGGAGGCTGTTCCACATGTCGGTGATTCGAAGCGAGAAGAAATGTTGTCGCATGGATGTGTTCCAACGCAGTTTTTTAGATTGTAGCCGTGGCCCCTGGTGCTGGTTCTTCTTTAAAATTCTAGTAATCCTTCTGGGACCTTGTATAAACCTTGGGTATACTTGTATACTTCAATGAGGTCACCACGCAGACGTCGATAACAGAGGCTTGGAAGTTTCATAATCTTTAACCTTTCTTCATAAGGCTTGCCTTTTAAACCCGGAATTATCCTTGTTGCACGTCGTTGAACACTCTCGACTAAATTTTTGTCCTTTTCTAGTTATGGTGACCACACAGCGTTTCCTAACTCTAGGTTTGGACGCACGACGGCGACAAACAACAGTTTCATCGCTTCAGCATTTATTTTCTCGTAAGAGCATCTGATCAGTCCAAGTCGTTTATTTGCTGCTTAGAACTTGAGCTTCATTAGGCTAGAAAATTTCAACTCATTGTTGACATTAACTCCTAAATCTTTTTCCATTGTCGAATCACTATGTCGTTGCAACCATGTCTTCTCATACTGTAAACTTGCTGTTCATTATTCATGCCAAGGTGGGTTACTTTACATTTGTCAGTGTTTAAACGCAGGTGCCACTTATCAGCTCAGTCAACAAACTGTCAAGATCACCCCGCAACTGTACTTTTTGCGACGTATTCTTCACTGTATTATAAATTGTTGTGTCGTCAGCATACATCGAGCACACGATAGACACAGCTTCTGGCAGATCATTTATAAACGCAACGAATAAAACAGGCCCGAGAACGCTTCCCTGTGACACGCCGCTGCGCGCAGAAGCCCAGTCTGATACGGACCCATTAATACTGACACGTTGTCGTCTGCCTACTAGAAAATCTCTTTTTCATTTGAGTACATTACTCTCATTTCCTTAAGACTTCAGTTTACGCAACAGCCGGTAATGTGGAACGCTGTCAAATGCCTCGGCAAAATCGAAAATTAGGTGCCCAAAATTTAGAGAAGGGCACTGAACGCAACACACATTTTAGGGAAATGCAAAAACTCTGATTAAATTGCAAAGGAGTCGGTTGGATTGGATGCTTTCAGAGTGCGCGTCATGCTGAGATCACGATCCAAAGGTGAGATGACGGTTGTAATCTAGATCTCAGGTTAAGATAACGGTTAAAATCACTATCTTAGGTTGATATCATGATTTAAAATAAGGAAGGCCTCAACGTTCCACTGGTCCATTCTGGAGCTGCACATACAAAATGTCGAGACAGCAGTGAGAGTGGTTCTAGACTTGTGACGCAATGGCTTTAAGCAGATCGTAAGTGGCGTGGCTTTCGCTGTTATGAGCGTTGTCTTCGGGTTCGTAGCTCTAAGGTCAGTTATAGCTGTGCATGTTAATTAAGGCTGCGCGTTGGCTCCTGGTCTAAAATACACGAATTAACTCGTGACCTATATGACTGCGTCTCTTCAAGATCCAGTGAAAACGTGGTGTAATTTTTTAGCTCAAGTCCTTTGATTTGAAGGACCGAGTGAGGGCTTTAATCGAAGTTCCCGCGACTACTTTATTTTGTGCTTGCCCTTAATAATATAAGGAACCTACAGGTAACTGATACCCAATATTTTTTGCATTCATCGCTCATGATCATGCTGAGGCTCCTGCTTCGACGCCAAAAACATGCGCCTCCCACCAGCGGCACCAAGAAACGAACTAAGCTATGTGAGGCTCGAACCAAAGGGTAACTCTTCTCAACCTAGTGCGCTCCAGCCCACAGCTACCCAGTGAAAATTTACAGACGCGGCAGCTTCTGATTTGGATTACCAGAAGCTGGGGCGACTCTAAATTTTGCTACCCAGTGAAAATTTACAGACGCGGCAGCTTCTGATTTGGATTTCCAGAAGCTGGGGTGCCTCTAAATTTTGTCAGGGTAGCTCATCTCATCTGATATTACTCCTACAGTGGCTTGACAAAAATTAAAAAATAACCAAATTAAAGTATCCATCAGTGATCAATTAATTTAGCATCCATTTATTATATCCAACGCATCCATCAGTGATCAATTATTTTAGTTTCGCTTTCGCGAGTCATTGTGTTGCTCAAGTATGTATCTTATGTAGTGATTGTCCCTGGTAGATAAATCATGTTCAAGCAATATGCATTATGCAGCAAACAGCTGGCGCGTCGTGGGACACCTAACACGATCGCACAGCTGCTGATTGCCCAGAGTGTTTATCTAATAATAATTGCATTTCTAGATATCATTATTTTTTAGTTATGTATATTGTCCTTAGGGGAAAAAAGTGGTTACATGATGAGTACTAAGTAAGCAAAAAATTTTTAATTTTGATTGACATCTTCTGTGTAATGTTAGGCAGATAAAAATTTTTCAAAACCACAGCGACGAGGTTGCTTTAACAAGTTTAACACAAGTTTCGTCGTCGTTCTTCTGGATATCTATCTTAACTACCGGAGTTATTTCTTAGTGCATGATACTAAATCACTTATATTCTTAATTTGCTTAATGCCACAGAACCTGAAGTTCTTTATGTGACTGTATGTATATGCAATTGCTTATATATGCCTGTGATATGCCTATGAAATATTCACTTTTGAATAAGATCAAACAGATTTTGTTATACAGAACACTTCGCAATGTAAAGAGAATTAATTTTCGCCTTTTTATAATAATTTTACTGCGTAATGTAGCATAATTGACCCATAGTACTGCGCTGCGAAGCGGCTCCTAATCAACTGATGTTTTCTCTTCAGATAAAGGAAATATTTCTCGAAAATTCTTGCTCAAAGTGACGCAAATACTTTTTTATTAATAACTGCCGATGCCGCATTTCCTATCATTATATATAGTAGCAATGAAAAATTTATCTTATGTTATTTATACGGATTCTGTATGACAGACATACGGGCTGTGGTTTATGTATGGCCCAACATATATGTCATCCTATCAACGATGCCACAATTATTAATTACCTAAACAGTTTGTAATTTGTGAAAGATATAAATTATCTCATCCAAATTTGAAGAGAAGACTTCAATTCTGTACTGGAAATCCCAACCTGTTGACTTAAGATTCACCTCTGTCAGCTCGAGAATTTTCCTTAATGATGAAGATGATACCGCAAGCTGATGTGTCGGCCATCAACGTAAACAAGATACCAGCAGAGCGATTGTATCAAGTTTACTTGCATACAAGTGAAAACCACAGCTGTTCACATGCGCTTAACTACATAATATAAGAGACGACCACTCTCACTTTCCTACTTGAATGCGTGGTATGACCCAAGAACGACTGAGGCTACGTGTATTCCTTTTGGAAAGAACCACATTGACTGGTGAGGACATATAGAAAGAGATACGAAATAATTTCATAGCTATACTATACATTTGAGTCACAATAATATCAATGAGACTTCACTATGTCTTCACTAAGTTATTTTTAGATTTATAGGTAATCTTTACGTTAAGTTGAGAATCAGAAATTGGATGTCGACACAAAGATATTTGCCAACATATAAGATATTTGCCAACTTATAAGATAGATGCCGATATATAGGATATTTGCCGAAGATATTTGCCAGCATATACGATATATGCCAAAATGTCATCAGATCATTCTAATTTAGCGATTTATTATTCATCTAACATCAACTTTCGTTAATGCAAAGATGTTCACTGATTGACAACTTCATCTCAATGCGAAGAACGTGCGACAAGCAAGAAAATGTCTTGCCTATAAAGGTTACAATAATTTGAATTTAAATAAAAATCGGATGCGCGTCTTCCATGACTGAACTTAATTAAATAACAGGTAATCCGGTGTGAGCTTTGGCAGTTTTACGATTGAGATTCCTCCGTATTTTAAATTCGTTTTTAGGCAACTCATACCGACAAACTCAACAATATCTGACAGCGTCAACAAATTCTGACAACCTTAATAAGATATAAAAATTTATCATAAAATAAATTTCCACATAATGTTTTATAAAGAGCTGATTTTTTTAAGCTTTAATATTAACGTTTATAATTGGTTTGATAACTGATTTATTAAAGCCTCTTTCATGTAACGTTCATTGATAATAGATTCTAAAACGTTAAAGGCTATTTGTTTGAAAATACCTTTATTGATATCGTATATACGTTTGATTTTGGCAATTGTGAAACCTTCTACTAACTATTATTTGATTAATCAATGTTCTCATCTGGGAAATTTAGCTAGGAACGAGGAAAAGTAAATCAGGTCAAGAAGTTAGAAGTTAGTGACAATGGTTTCACTGAGGGAGAGTATTACATGAAACAGCAGAATTGCGGTTGTTGAATGTGCCAAATGTTTCTATAAAGTTTCTAAGATTCCTTATAAACGTGCGTCAAATTTATTCTACAAATGTTACCGACGTAACAACTAAAATAATGTATACAATCAGGATTTTACATATAAAATAATTCCCTGCTATTACCTAAAAGAGATGTAAATAATTTTCGTAAACAATTTAAAAAACTACATAAATTTTAATACAAATATTTGAATCTTTTAACAATTATAAACGAAACCAAACTTTAAGTGTTCAATAGTGTTCAATAGTGTTCAGTAGTGTTCAATAGCCACTATTGAACACTATTGAACACTATTGAACACTTCCAAATAGTGTAATTGGACGGGGAATTTCTGCCCCAAGTCATGCAAATGAAGGCCAATGTCTCGAAGTTATTAATTTATTTCTGAAAATTTTATGTTTCTGCAGGTTTTTGAGTTCACAATGCGCTTCTTGCTGACGATTGCCTTGGCCGTAGGCGCTACCTGCGCCGCCAACACAAAGGGCTTCTTCAGCCGTAAGTAGACAACTGATTTTTGCACTATTACTATGCTTTAAATTTGAATAAGTGTTTTAGAATCAAAAAAAGTTATAGTCAGTTTTAATGTGGATATTTTTCCAGGTTAAAATTTTTAAGCATATCATCGTGATTGTCTTGTGTAAAGTAATTGATTTATTTAAAGCACGATGAAAGTGAGCGCATTACGTCATCCATGTATGAAAAAACACATCTATTATCTACTATCCATACAACATCTACTATCCATGTATGAGGGCTTTGCGCAAGAGGGATGATACCCTAATGTTCGTAAGCAATTTTTTCCTTAACGGTATTTTAGTGCTAAAATACTTCTTTTCGCAGTGGCCTGATAGAAAATGGTTGGGTTGCATAACCATTTTGCGCGTGTTTTTTAATGTTATTTTTGTAATTTGGTTGCAAAGTAGAGTGGGCCGTAAGTGTCCAGTCGTAAGGGGCTCAAACTTTTCCTACCTTAACTTATGAAGATTGTGCGTTTGAAAAGTGAATATAATCATAATATAATTAAAATATAATTTAGAAAAATTATGTCCCAATGAAAGCGATGGTACACCATGGCTGCATGATGCTCGGCGTTGCTGAAAATTTATTCAAAATAACTTCGCAGGTGCAAGAAAATTGTCCATTCTCCACGCAGACCGTGAGAATAACAAGTGCTTGCTTAAGAACAAACTTCAGAAAGGGAATTGAGAGTATCTCGGCTTTAGCGGCTTTATTTGATACTGAAAATATTTTCAATTACGTTTGTTTGAACCACAATACTGTTTATTATAAATATATCTCAGAATTTATTCATTAAAGCATGGAATCTGAGACACGATTCACAAGCTATCCGTATTTTGCTATCAGAACGTGGAAGGACAGGTTTGCCTATAATGTGTGATGATTGGAACGAATTACATCAGAGTACCTATATAAATTTCGCTCCTAACAGCAATGCATGTACAAAATATTTAGCAAGTACGTTCAAATGAATAATATCTATATCATAAGGTTTAAATATTAGAATAAACCTGGAATATGATAAATGGTTTTCTAAGGAGATCAAGTTACACCTTCGTCGGATTGCATAGGTACAACTGTACTTACACTACATTGGTTCGATAGTAACGTTGTAAAATTATGCAGTCTGATGACGGTTAAGAACCTGGGTTTATACTTAAAAAAAGTTAAGAGTTCGTAAGTTCGTCAGCCAATCATTGACGGCCTTTCAAGCAAAGTCCACCAATCATAGACAAGAAAATAGAGCGTAAGTACTTACGTTCACTTAGCCAGTTTTGAAAGTATGGCCCTGGTCTTTCCTTAATGTATTTTCAGCATCGAATTTTCGACGAAACCAAGAGAAAACGACACCTGCATAGCGCACCTCTGATAACATCTGAGCGTTGATAGCGTATCTCCGTTGATATGCCCGCACGCCACAGCGCGCCATAAGCGATATCCCATAATTGTGATATTTCACCTTCAAATAGCAACGTCATTGAAACGTGTTACATGAAACATATTTGTATAAGCCGTGTCAAAAATGGTCACGCTTATATAATACATTTTTTATTTAGACGGGGTTACTACATTCAACATGAAACGTATTTGTATAAGCCATGTCAAAACTGGTCACTCTTAAATAATGCATTTTTTATTTAGACGGGGTTACTACATTCAACATGAAACGTATTTGTATAAGCCATATCCAAACTGGTCACGCTTATATAATACATTTTTTATTTAGACGGGGTTACTACATTCAACATGAAACGTATTTGTATAAGCCATACCAAAACTGGTCACTCTTAAATAATACATTTTTTATTTAGACGGGGTTACTACATTCAGGGAAATTTGAGCCCATTGCTACGATCCACAATTATCACTGCACTGCCAAATGGGCTTCGTCATGTCCTATCTTGCATCAATCTTCCATAATTTATCACTCCGGATTTATTCACACTTAAAGGCCTTTTCACTTCCCGTTTTTATCTTAATTGAAAATGATAATTAAGCGGATGTAATGATCAGTCATATTGTGTACACAGTGGTGGGCAATTATTAATTTGTTCTTATAAAACAATCGCCTACAATGAGCAAACCTACATCGCCATTACGTACGTAATTAATGTATCTGACTTTATTTTTACACTTTTTTAACTTCACTTCTTGTTGTTTGTTGTTGTGTATGTTTATCTGCTACAAATCTTATAAACGACATTTAACACACTTCTACCAGTCCAGTCGAGCTGAAATTTTGCAAACTTTCGTTAGGTCGAAGAAAATGCTTGAATCAATAGACAAAATGAATAGTTAAAAATATTGAAAAAATTTAAATCTTAATAAATGTTTTTAAAATGTATATTTTTTAATATTCAAAAATAAAAAATGAGAAATCAAAAGAAATTCATCACACTTATACATGTGTAGCATCGCAGACACTGGCCACTTTAGCAGTGTTGTCTTTAAATAGTAATTTTTAAACGCATATTACTATCTCTGATACCGCACATCCTGTACTGAATGCCTTTACTTTAGCATTGGAAGCCACAAGTGCATTTCTGGCAACTCAAGGAGCAAAAACAACGCTTGACACAACTGCTCTGTAAATAAATTTTCAAGTCAGAGAATAATCTCACTAGTCCACAGACATGGCTGAATATTTCTCAAAAATTTCATTTTCTAATCTTTCAACTGTAATTGGTTTCAGGTTTTTAATTAAATAAGTTCGTTAAGTGCACGATAAGCTTTGTAAAGCGCACCTCGTTGGCTGCACTCTCTCGTGGGATGCCAGCGACCGAACGCTGCTGGCCCTCCAGGGCTATAGCATGCAACGAACTTCCCATCAGTATTTTCTCGTGTAGTTCCCTGAGGATACTTAATGGCCCAATGGGTTCATTTAAAGTAAAGATTTTAGAGCGATGTCTGACTTGAACGTAGAATTTGAGATTGTTGTAATGTATGATCGTCTTTTGGAATCGAAACGAAGATCGACTTGGAAATACGATAGAGTCGTTTTCATGTTTGGCACATGATCGAGTCTGTATGGTGTTTTGTTTATTGTTCTACTAGCTCTCGACGTTTTCATGATAAGGAAAAACACAAAACTAATTATTCATCTAATGAGTGGGCTGAAATTTATCAGCCAGCCTAAATCTTTCTCCTGTTTTATAAACACGTATAAATGAAAGATATTTATGCGTGTTTTGTTATTTCAAGATTCTCTTTACTGCAATTGCATTAGAAAAAAATATAACTCAGTACTCACTGCAGTGAGTGACAGAGAGCGCATTTTCTCGTCGACGAAAAATTGAGGTCACGGACGGATGGACAGACGGACGGACAGACGGACGGACAGACGGACGGACATGGCGAGCACAGTAGTGCATTTTTTCCATAAATGAGAAAATGCGCTAAAAATAATAAAAATTTGCCAAACATTAAATATTTAGCTGTGCCTGAAATGATGAAATCTCATAGTACGGTACTTACTCGCGGACACCAGTAAACTGAAATTTTGGTTTAATAATTTAATCAAACGAATGCTCCAACTGAACATATTCAAGCCCGCGCTACTGTCACCGAACTTTGCATAAATATGGAGTTTAACATTGAACCAATATATTTAAAATATATTTTCCTCTTAGAAAGCTGTAGAATTTTGTGAATAATAAACCATGTCTAATCTCCAATAATTCATCAAGCCGCTTTCTTGCTTGGCAGCTTCATTCGAGAGGGCCAAAGTCAGGCACGATAATTGCCTTTAGTACTATGGTACTATAAATAATATATAGATAATTAATATAGATAGGCAATTAATATAGATAATTGCCTTTAGTACGTTCACTATGTCATGCAGTGCAATGAAGTTGCTATATGTAGTCTCTATGTCTACCGAGCACTTCAAGAAATGTATTCGCATGAACTGAGACGGGCTCAGGCGAGATCATATAGACTGCTGCTGGTTTCTTACTGTGGTGATAGTTCAGAAAAATTCTCCTCTAAAATACTAAATATCATACTGAAAATGAGATTTGACACCACTCATGAATGTGAATAGCATTACACAAAGGCAACTGCGATATTGCTTGACTTGTAATAGAGGTCACTAAAAGTACACGATATTCCACACAGAAATGCATCGAACTGCCTGCTTTATTAATTTGAATAATAATATGAATTGTCGTTCGGATTTTGGACCAGGTGGTGACGAGGAGTGGTGTGACCCCGTGCTGGGCTGCCTCTATCTCACCGATGAGTGGTACTCTGACATGCGACCCATCAACGTCCTGCCCGCCTCGCGTGAGAGCATCAACACTCGCTTCATGCTGCACACTCGTGCTGACAGGGCTGCTGACCACGTGAGTTACTTGCTGCTTCATGCTGCACACTCGCGCTGACAGGGCTGCTGACCACGTGAGTTACATGCTGCTTCATGCTGCACACTCGTGCTGACAGGGCTGCTGACCACGTGAGTTACATGCTGCTTCATGCTGCACACTCGTGCTGACAGGGCTGCTGACCACGTGAGTTACTTGCTGCTTCATGCTGCACACCCGCGCTGACAGGGCTAAATTACAAATTCATTTGCATCGTCAATGTTAGAGTGAAAATATAACATGCTCTGCTAGGTGAAAACATGTATGCTAGTTTGTTTGTTAAAATAGCATGAAAGGAATTTCTATCCACTTAGAATATTGTTAAGAATAACAAAATACTGGTTCAGAGCGCCGATGATTGTCGCTGAAATGTTTCTGTGTATAAGCAACATGAATGTAAGATTGCATGTTTAACATATATTAAGTGTTTAATATTTGCTTTATTGAACAAAGGACGTGTTCGTCGTGGCAGGCGATGCATCAACCATTGAGGCATCAACTTTTGATGCATCAAAACCCACCAAGTTCATCATTCACGGCTTTATAGACACAGGCAACACCTACTGGCTGCCGGTACGACTGATATTAATACAATGTAATGTTTTGCTAGGGTTGGTAAAATATTTACAGTGGGTGCTGTAATTGTGGGATGAAAATGACGGGAGTATAACTGCGGCATAATAATAGGGGGTAGTACCTGTAAGATTAGGTCATCTGTTGTGTCATGCTTGGAGAAAATCGTTACCTCCCTAAGCGAGACCTTGATTAACAATATCTTTTCTTTGTATTTTATTGTTGGGAAACACCATCTCGAATTACATTAACTTAAAAATTTAAATAACTATATTTACAATCCTACTTAAATCAAGGCTTGATCCCAGTGCCATGATATTATGTCAAGTAATACACGTGTATTACTTGCATCGACAAGTTCATTTTTAAACTCGCCGTCGTGCTTGAAAATTTGCATTTTGATCTGATGTAATGTAATGCATTTACATATACATGCCTACAGATTTCACATTTATAATATACGAGTATCCACTAATCGAAATTTTCTCCCGCATCCTTGTGTAATATCTTTCACGCAATATTTTATTTTGACTCATATCGCTCTTCTTAACATGCCCTTCTTTGTACAGGGTTGAGAAATTTAAGCTTGCACTCAGGAAATGGCTAAATTAGTACGTATCCACCAGACAAATGACGTTGAATCAACTCTTATTCAACCAAGCCACGTTTTATTCACCATTGATTCAACATCAGATGTTTGATGGATAATAATGTGTGAGTCGTGGTATTTTCTGCCTTCAGGAACTGGCAAACGCGTTCCTGGACTACATGGACTGCAACGTGTTCCGCGTCAACTGGGGAGACGGATCGCTGCCCATGTACTCTCAAGCGGCAGCCAACACACGGTAAATGCCACCCAACAGACTACAGACGTTGAATCATTGTTGAATTAAACATTTTTTGGTTGAATAAACCTTACTATAACCGTGCTTCAACGTTATTTGTTCTGGTGGACATAGGGTATGTTGCCTTATTTTGGCAGCAGAGAAAAATTTTCTTATTAAGGAACTTCGATAAATTTTTCAGCATTCCGTTGTGTCCTATAATAGTTGAAATCTTAAGCGGGTTTGCCGAGTGATTCTAGCCATGATATTTTAAATAAATCGTATCCGCTTGGTCTCTATTGGGACGGGAAGCAGTTTAGGGCATGTAACGTAGGAGAGGAACATCAGGAATCAGTAAAGGAATTTTATTCACTGACATTTCAATTATTAAATTAATTACAATAGTCTTTACTTGATCACGTTTATTTTGATCAGAGTGGTGGGCTTGGAAATTGGTTACCTTGTGAACTGGCTCATCGATACGTACGGTGTTAAAGCCGCGGACGTTCACCTTCTGGGCCACTCGCTCGGTTCACACGTCTCTGGCTACGCAGGAGAGCAGATACAAGGTAAGAAGTCTTGCAGTAACGCTACAAATCAATAAATTTCACAAAATTTCTACTATTCCTACTACTATTCTACTCTACTTTCAACTATTTGTGAACATTTTATACCCATTAATGGGATAAAGTAAACTATACAAATGTTCACGGATGTTTTTGATAAGAAAATCACGGAAAGCTATCCCTATCAACAAATTCAGTGGCACATTCTCCTGAAAAATTTTTTGGTAAGTAAAAGCTTTAATGCAATTATAAATTCGTCTGATTTCACTGTTGCACAAATTTAAGAAAATGCACATTTTGTCACATCTATACATTTATTTCTCCCTTCAATTCATTTATCGCTTAATTTTTACGCGTGCTTTTTTCTGCAATTTCAGGCCTAGGCCGTATCAGTGGTTTGGATCCAGCAGGCCCATACTACACCAGCATGCCTCCAGTCGTACGTCTAGACCCGACAGACGCTCTATTCGTTGACAACATCCACACCGACGCTGATTCCATATTCCTGTTGGGGTACGGAACAGGACAGCCCATGGGGCACCTGGACTTCTACCCAAACTCTGGACACGACCAGCCAGGATGTGATCCTATCAGTATAGCAATCGATGCCATCACTCCAGACGATGTGGGCGACATACGAGACATCGGCGCCTGCAGTCACTGCCGCTCCATCTTCCTTTACGAAGTAACTAAACTCTTATTAATATTATTATGTATATAATCAATGATTATGATTGGTGGGTTACGTCGATAGTACGTATATTATAATTCGAAATAAATAAAGTCTGTTAATTGTAAATTTGAGAGTTCACAATATACATGGATGCATGCAGTGTCACATGAGGTATAAGTGAGTTTTGAATCAATTTCTAACTCCACTGAAGCTGGAAAAGTTCGTGTTTGAGAAAGGATATTTTAGTATGAATTTAAGATATGTTGTTAAATTTACATAGTAGACAATAAATACAATAATTTCTTACCCCATAGGTTTCTTTTTAATGAAGAAATTACATGCGTTTCGACAGATTGCATTATTATTTATGTATTTGTTATCCTCCAGGGTCTACTATTATTTGAAATTGAAAAATTAATTGAGATATTTATTTTATTGTGCAAACGTGATGAACTGACCGCGAAAAGCTCTCATATTTCACTTAAAAGTTTTTAGAATTATTGAGGCTTAAATTAGTCACAATGATTTGGAAATGATGGACAAGATTTTATGATAACATCTTTCGGTAATTATTGTTCTCACTTGTGTAAAACAAAATTTCTTCTTGCCCACGAGTTGTTAGCAGTAATTATTATTTTCTGGCTTCTTTCTAATACACTGAGCAGAAATACAATACGGTAGCTTATGTACTTTCTACCTTGCAAATATAAATTACCTTGCACCTTGCAGATGTACATTACCGTGTCCCTTACAAAAAAAATAGTTCATGGCTCCTGTGCAAAGCATAGTTTACTGTACCAGGCAGAAGTATAGTATCTGTGCAACTTCCTAACATTGAAGTTTCCTACTCAAGGCGACGCTGACCACAGACAACTGCGACTTCCTTGGCCACACCTGCTACAGCTACGACTCCTTCGAGCTGGTGAGCAGCTAGCATAACCGGAAAGATAAAACGATATTTTGAAGTCCATCATCCGCGTGCCAAATCATATATTTTGATAGATTTGTCCTGCTGCTTTGCTTTGGATTTGAAAAGCCTGTAGATGCTACCACATAGGAGTGTTAAAGATATGAATTTTAGTCGTGCATGAGTACCTAATAGCGTGCATTAAATACTGCTCGAAAATTACAGTTTCAAACAATCGAAAGCATTCTTTAGCGCTTGAATATTTTTCATGTGTTTCGAGGCATCGTAATGAAAATACAGTTTTTTAGACATTAAGCCTAAGATTAATATGGCAGTTATTTACTACGAAGGCCTATTGATGCCGTATGAAACAATCAACTACCGTAACTTGAAATATCGAATTACCTATGTAATATTTTCTTTGCTTCGTACGTATTAAGAGTTTACAAAAATGAACACGAGGCGAAAAATTGAAATGACCTGTTTATAGAATATATTTGATATCAAGTCATTTTTTCCTCAATCCCGATGTGATTATGTAGGGTTAATAGTGATGTATTTTACCTGGTGCAGGGCTATAGTGCATGTAGTGCAGTGTCAGGGTGATTAGGGTTAATAGTGACACATTTTACCTGATACAGGGTGAGTTAAGGTCGCGTATGGCTGGGGGTAATTAGGGTTAATAGTGACACATTTTGCCTGACGCAGGGCTATAGTTCATGTCGTGCAGTGCCGTGGCGATTAGGGTTAACAGTGAAACATTTTGCCTGGCGCAGGGCTATAGTGCAGGGGCCATACTTTCAAAACTCGCTAAGTGAACTAAGTACTTACGCTCCATTTTCTTGTCTATGATTGGTGGATTTTGCTTGAAAGGCCGTCAATGATTGGCTGATGAACTTAAGATCTCTTAACTTTTTTTGAAAGTATAGGCCCAGGTCGTGCAGTGCCGGGGTGATTAGGGTTAATAGTGCCACATTTTGCCTGGCGCAGGGCGAGTGCAGATCTTGTGGCGCCGACAACTCCAAGTGTGCTTACATGGGCATCCGCGCAGACGAATACGTCAGCAAACAGAACATCAACACGATGGCCTACCTCGACACCGACGACGACGAGGAGCCTTTTTGCCGTGAGCGAAACATTCAGGCATAATTAACTTTCAAATTACTTGCATTTAATTACATGAATTTTTCGATGCTGACCATAACTTCATTCCAGTGTATATTTTTCGGTTGGTCGTTTTTTATGAAAGTACGTAAAGAATAGAGAATAATCTGTAGCAAATTTTATCATATTTATTAATTTTTGCCATCTTTTAAAGGTTTTAGCTGCTATGACGCGAAAACTAAAATATTAGGCTTTGTTAACTTTACAGTTTGCTTCAATTTTGACGCATCATTTTTATAATACTGTAGCACAAAAAAGTCAGATCTCAATTTAATCCCTCTACTAATACTACTTAAATACCGCTACCAATTCCCTTCACCATGTATCACATTTGAGACCGTTTTAAGGCCCCCATATACCATTTAATATGCTGAGCCACCCCAGAACTCAACGGGCGGTATTATCTAAAATTGTTACAAGTTCGTAACTTCGTCAGGCAACCACTGAAGGCCTTTCAAGCCGATTAAGCCCGACAATAAGAGGTAGTCGGCCACTACGGCGATACTTAAGCCACTACGTATTCGAAGGCCGCTCCATGGACCCCGGCCTGTACCTTTACGCAGGCTGCTAAGTTTACTTTGGCAGCAACGTGTTACCAGGACGCTGTGTGTACTTCGGCCTCTACGGTGTACTTGGGCCTTTACGTGTACTTAGGCCGTTACGTGTACTTGGGCCGCTACTTGTACTTGGGCCTCTACGGTGTACTTAGGCCTTTACGTGTACTTGGGCCGTTACGTGTGCTTGGGCCGCTACCTGTACTTGGGCCTTTACGTGTACTTAGGCCTTTACATGTACTTAGGCCGTTACGTGTATTTGGGCCGCTACGTGTACTTGGGCCTTTACGTGTACTTAGGCCGTTACGTGTACTTGGGCCGCTGCCTGTACTTGGGCCTCTACAGTGTACTTAGGCCGTTACATGTACTTAGGCCGTTACGTGTATTTGGGCCGCTACGTGTACTTGGGCCTTTACGTGTACTTAGGCCGTTACGTGTATTTGGGCCGCTACGTGTACTTGGGCCGCTACGTGTACTTAGGCCTTTACATGCACTTAGGCCGTTACGTGTACAAGGGCCGCTACCTGTACTTGGGCCGCTACGTGTACTTAGGTCTTTACATGTACTTAGGCCGTTACGTGTACAAGGGCCTTTACGTGTACTTGGGCCTTTACGTGTACTTAGGCCATTACGTGTAATTGGGCCGCTGCCTGTACTTGGGCCTCTACAGTGTACTTATGCCGTTACGTGTACTTGGGCCGCTACGTGTACTTGGGCCTTTACGTGTACTTGGGCCGTTACGTGTACTTGGGCCGCTGCCTGTACTTGGGCCTCTACAGTGTACTTAGGCCGTTACATGTACTTAGGCCGTTACGTGTGTTTGGGCCGCTACCTGTACTTGGGCCGCTACGTGTACTTAGGCCTTTACGTGTACTTAGGCCGTTACGCGCACCAAAGCCGCNCTAGGGCCGCTACCTGTACTTGGGCCGCTACCTGTACTTGGGCCGCTACCTGTACTTGGGCCGCTACGTGTACTTAGGCCTTTACGTGTACTTAGGCCGCTACCTGTACTTGGGCCGCTACGTGTACTTAGGCCTTTACGCGTACTTAGGCCGTTACGTTTACAAGGGCCGCTACTTGTACTTGGGCCGCTACGTGTACTTATTCTCCTTGTGTACTAATCCCATTACGAATTTTGAAGCGAATTTTGTCATACTTCTAACCCTTGACTGGCAGTGGAACACTACGTGGTGACGCTCCTGACGGCGTACCCTGACGGGGCCGAGTCGTGGGTAGTGGGCCACCTGACAGCTACCCTCTACGGTGACACGGGCGCTGTGCTGAAGGACGTAAAAATTTCCGAGTAAGACGTACATTTTTACTTGCTGATTCAGTAAAAAATATAACTCAGTACTCACTGCAGTGAGTGACAGAGAGCGCATTTTCTCGTCAACGAAAACCTGAAGTGAAGTCACGGACGGACAGACGGACGGACAGACGGACATGGCGAGCACAATAGTGAATTTTTTTCCATAAATGAGAAAATGTGCTAAAAAGGTATCTCCTTGATGAAAGACGTCAGAATTCAAAGCAAGACGTCTATTGTTACTAGCTAATTTAGCAAAAAATTTGCTTTTTGATGTAAGAAATCAAAATTTCAGAGAAAGATTCAACTCAGTGCGCAAGAAAACGATAACTGTCATCAATTATATCCTTTTCCTGAAGACACGGTATAACTAGAACTACCTTTGTTCGGAAGCGGGTTGAGTTTTTATCAAGGAATCGAATAGTTTAGCGTAGGATGTGTGAAACAATGGATGAGCGAAATGTAGAGAAGTGCCAGGCAAAGGGTAATTGGTAAGCAGATTCTTTTCGATAAATAATGTTACTTCTACCGTTTTTGGCGTGAACTGTTTAACCTCAACACATAATACCGAATTGTTTTGGAATTGCAGAATTCATATTGATAGTCGAAATGAATGAACAGGATGAGCACCAGACTCTAATGACTGGAGATAGAAGCTAAATTAATTCAAATAAAACGGACTGAAGTACTACCAAAGCTACACACAACATCGGCCTCAGCCGTTAAATTTAAAGTACCTGTGCATCCAAATTTTGCGCTGGAAAATTAAAATTCGTAACTTGTTTGTCCCAGTGAACACCGCCGCATCGACCACGGCCAAGAGACCTCATTCTTGAGAATTTAAAGTACTGCAGTGCATCCAAATTTTGCGCTGGAAAATTGAAATTAGTAACTTGTTTGTCCCAGTGAGCACCGCCGTATCGACCACGGCCAAGAGACCTACGTCATTCTTGAGAATTTAAAGGACCAGTGTATCCAAAATTTGCACTAAAAAATTACAATTCTTAACTTGTTTGTCCCAGTGAGCACCGCCGTATCGACCACGGCCAAAGAGACCTCATTCTTGAGAATTTAAAGTACCAGTGCATCCAAATTTTGCGCTGGAAAATTGAAATTCGTAACTTGTTTGTCCCAGTGAACACCGCCGCATCGACCACGGCCAAGAGACCTCATACCCGAGAATTTAAAGTACCAGTGCATCCAAATTTTGCGCTAAAAATTGAAATTCGTAACTTGTTTGTCCCAGTGAACACCGCCGCATCGACCACGGCCAAGAGACCTCATTCTTGATCGAAAGCCACGTCCATCTGGGGACGATCCTGCGCGCGGAGTTCACCTGGAAGTACGACGACCAGCTCCTGAGACCTGGCACCTACTGCTGGAGTCTTATCTGCAACAGGAGTCTATACGTGCAGTCCTTCGAGGTCTCGCCCATCAATTACTACCCCGAGAGGTCAGTGTCGAAAATCTTCTTGGAAATTTGCTTGCGCATAACTTTTTTATTATTTTCGATGTAAAATTTATTTATTCACTAGCGTTCATATGTGATTGTGCTATGTACATATATGTATGTACATATGTGCTATGTACTTTTTTTCTTTGTTTTCCAGTGATTCATTGGAAAATAGAATTTATTAAGGATTCATTTCGGCATTGTAACATTTTTATATCTCTTTTCTTATGAAAATGTTCATTTATGATTTGCTAAAAATGAATGATATACTAAAATGATTTATTATCATTATAATATGATAATAAATTAACTTATTAAAAAATATATAACCCATTATAAATAATATCCCATTATTAACATGTATGTTCATAATGGTACCACTAAAAATACGTCTCGCATTGGATAAAGAAGAAAATTTGAAAAAAATGCTTCTTCCTTTCCGCTTAGACGAAGATGTTTATTTAATAAAGAAAAAAAACTTGAAATCATTAAGCACGCAGAATGTTCTTTCCGTTGCAAGAGAACACTATATATATACTAATATATTGCAGAGAAGATTTGTATAATTGACTCTCTACTCTCTGTGCTTCAATTCCCATATCTTATTTAATAATAAGGATATATATTGTAATACCTGTAACCAAATTTGTGCTGACCAAAATAGCTGTAACCAAAATATCGTTAACCATAATATCGCTAACCATAATACCGCTAACCATATTGAGGCTAACCCAAATGCCTGTAACCAAAATAACTGTAACCAAAATACATGTAACCGAAATACCTGTTACCAAAATACCTATAACCAAAATACCTGTAACCAAAATACCTGTAACCAAAATACCTGTAACCAAAATACCTGTAACCAAAATACCTGTAACCAAAATACCTGTAACCAAAATCCCTGTAACCAGTATAACAGTTTCACGACATGTTCAATTATTTATCTCTGAGTACATGAAACTAATCATACCCCCTGCCATGCAGCACGCGTCTACAGCACACTCAGCTGCTGTGCGCCAGTGGTGGTGCAGTCACGGAGATCAAAGACGGCAAGACGGTGTCGGTGGCGCCCACGGGCTCGTGCACGCCTGTCGTCTGAGGGGAGAACTTATCCCACCTGACAACTGATGGTGAATCAACGCTGAATATATAGCATTGATGTCACTTATTTGCTTAAATCGATAGTTAACTAAAAGTTTAAAAGCATATAATAGGCCACAATAATTCATATCTTTGTAGAAAACGTTTCGGAGTCCAGCTCCATCGTCAGTTTGTAGAATCTAGAATTAACATACGTTTAACGAAGCAGCGTTAAACGTTGTTTCAACGATATTACCCTGCTGCGGTGTACTAGAACCTGCCAATACTCTTAAATGCCAGCCATAAACTCGTTTATACCAGTCAATAATCGTTTATACCAGTCAATACTTGTCTATACAACCCAATAATAGTTTATGCCAGCCAATAAAAACTAGTTCGTGATTTGCAGCGTCAACCTTGATTATTAAAATGTGAAGAAATAAAATTATGTTAATGTTTTTTCATTGTAAGATTATATTTTGTAAACGATAAATAAATATTGAACAATTATTTACGAGTCTTATTTGTTATTTCCTATTTCAAAATATGAAGCGAGTTCAAGATACGTCGCCACCACAATTTTTACATCATCCATACGTCACCACACAACCTTTTGCATCATCCATACGTCACCAAACAACCTTTTACATCATCCATACGTCACATCACAACCTTTTACATCATCCATACGTCACCACACAACCTTTTACATCATCCATACGTCACCACACAACCTTTTACATCATCCATACGTCACCACACAACCTTTTACATCATCCAAACGTCACCACACAACCTTTTACATCAATACGTCACCACATTACATCACCCATACGTCACCACACAACCTTTTACATCATCCATACGTCACCACTCAACCTTTCACATCATCCATACGTCACCACTCAACCTTTCACATCATCCATGCGTCACCACATTACATCATCCATACGTCACCACACAACCTTTTACATCAACCTTACGTCACCACTCAACCTTTGAAGATAAGGTCGAGGTCGGTCGACGTTGTTCAGTAGCGCACAAGACAGCGCCGTGTGAGGGCTGCTGTCGGTGACGCTGTGCCACTGAGCGCCGCAGCAACACGTGTGCTCTACTAAATCCTGGGACTAACAGGCTTCTCATGAGAATATTGAATTTATGTTGGATTTCATGAACATTTTGTGTTTTGTGGTGTAATGCAAAATATTTGCAGGTTTTCTATTTCTTGAGAAAGGTTTGTCTTTTGCAAACAAATGACCGTAGCCAATTTTTAGCCATATCTTCGGCATCAGGTGTAAAAATAACGGTCAAAAGTAACATCGCTCATAGTTAGCTATGAACTGGAAATAATTTATGCACTGATCGGTATTTATGGTTATGAAAGGATCTGACTACTCGTAATCTTGTCAGGTAAGGTAATTATGGTTTCATTTCTGTAGAGGCTTGCTTTTCTCTACACGAAATTCATGACATTTTATTTTCGTTCCTCAGTTGCAAATATCTCGTGGTTTTTATCCCAGTTCCATGCCAGGAGCGAAACTGAAAGCGGGATGAACATTTTTTAATCCGCGTATCAGATGGCTCTACAGTGCTGAAAAATAACCTAAGGTTTTTTTCTATAAATCGCGCCTTAATTACCGCGTCCCGATCGCAGTTCCATGGTAAATATTCATGCGAGATGCAAATCAATTGTGCAAAATTTCAGGAGAAAATAAATTATCGTTAATTTATTGTAATTATGTCAGAGCATGAGTAATAAAAGGTTCAGATATTCAATTCGAATAAATCTGGTTTTCGCAATTTTTTTGACTTTATACATTTACAGATATTTGTAAGGTCATCCTCTTTAAGCATAATATCGCTGCCTAAACCTCAATGGTTAAGATTTTTCAGGACTATAAATTAAGGAGCCTAATTTCTAACACTGGTAAGGCGATATCAATTTTTTTCAGATTATGTTAATGGGAATATGGAATGGGTGACGATGGGAATATGGAATGGGTGATGGTGTTAAGATGTCTTCAATCAATGCTGGGCTGGTAGTATATGCAGCGCATTTTAGGAAAACGAACTCCTTACGAAAATGTCTCACAATATTTCATGAATTTGAGCCTCAGTGCTGGGGGACTTCTTCATAATCACTTCTCAAACGGTCAGGAAAGGTTTTCAGTTCATATAAGACACGAATTATTCACAATATATTTGTTAAAACACGTATGTACAATTGCGTTGTGCCGTACAGTCCACTCCAGCTAAAGTCTAAAACATGAATGAATGAATTCCGAATGTTTGCATAACCTAAAACATGGAAAACTCTAACTGAAAATGGAAAAATTGTTACTAAGAAATACGAATAAATTTATACTATTCCCTAACATCAGAAATATTCTTTATTTTTTCTTATGAAATTTTGAGTCCCGGTTAGAATGAAGTTTTTTCGGTTCACTTGAAGTTGCGGTGATTCGTCGTCGAGTGATCCCTACCTTAGCAGACTCGAATGTCACATTCGAAATAAAATAAAACTTTCGAGCTAAAACATAACTGTACTCAAGTCATGGTACTTGAAAGAACTCTAGCTGTATTCCTACCATTTTTCTAGAGTTATTTTTAATGGGCTTAACATCACATCTTGATACCGTGGCCATTGCTTGGACTTTTAATTTAGATAATCAGAAAACTCCAGATTAATACGTATTCTGGCTTATGAATTTGAAATGAAATTTATCCTTCGCCATAAGGAACGTTGCTACGTTGATAAACGTATCATCGTTGCTCGATATAAGTTCGTTTCTTTAAACCACTCTTGAAAAAGAGACTAGTTTATTGAGTCGAACTTTCTGAATAGCTTTTTATTTAAGAATAAGACCATCATACAAATTATGTATCTGTGTTCCTCTCAGCATGTAGTCTAAAATATGTTAAATAGAGCAGCTGATTTAGTCTATGCTATTAATATGTATACACCAAGACGGTTTCATGTATACACCAAGACGGCAATTTCACGGTTTCAATCGAGGTTCAGGCTAGTCACGCTGGAAGCTCGAAACGTAACAAAGAAATAACTACGATATCGGCTCATGAATTCTTAACCAATCCAATGAAAGGAATTGAATTGCTTAACATTTCCAATAATTCATATTGGAATTCACTGAACTCAATTGAAAGCACGATTGATTCTCACGAGAAAGCTTTCTGTTGTCTGAGAGCTCCATAGAGATTTAGCTCGTGCGACAACACACATCCATGCGACAACATTTCTTCTTGCTTCGAGTCACCGACATGTGGAACAGCCTCCCTGATAGCATCGTTGACGCTCCGAGTATGAACGGCTTCAAGAACAGACTAGACGAAGCTAT